ATTTCATCTCATCCACTCATTTGTTCATTTATTCATTTTTATTTCTGAGTCATCACCCCCTCATTCCCTTTTCCCATGGAGCACAGCTCATGCACACGTCTCTACGGAGCAAAATTCGAGTAGTACACACACCAGGAGTGCACATGCAGGAAGTAGCCAGAGGTGGCAGTAATGAGCCCGGTGTGAGCTCAATGACACAGAGCAATATCAGCTGCCAAGTCCTCTTCCGTAGTGCACCTATAGAGAAATTCAGTTCAGCCATGTGGTGACCTGTCCCTGCCATCAGGATACCCAGGCCCCCTACATGTGTATGGGCTGTTTCCCCTAATGGCGGCCCTGTGCGCAGTGCGCATAAGCATCGCAAGCATACTGGCCCGTTATGGTGCCTGGGGGAGCCACCCACTAGCAGTAAATTTACTGCTGGCAGTTGGCAAATAGTTAAAGTGAAACTTGGCAAGGCTGTAAACATTCAAATATTTACATCTTAACAAGCAGTAAATGAGTTTCAACCTTTTCTCTGCCAGAGCATTTTTCACGCACATTATAAATGCATATTTTAGGTCTGAAGATTAGCTAAAATCCCAAACATTGTATATTACCTGAAAACAGAAGCCATGGAGAACAAAATTAGTTTAAATTTTTTATGTCATGTGATATTAGCACAATGGTTTATCAAACACATATTTTCTGTAGAACATACCAAAACATTAATTTCAATGCACACAAATGCAAATATATTGCCCATTTTTGGGGGTAAATTATAAGAGATTGTGATGAGTGAATACATACTTAATTATGTCAAGACTTAACATTACATGTGCCCTTGAAATGTCAAGAAACTTTGGTACACAAAAATTTCCATAGGTGATGCTTTACAAGTATAGAGACTGAATAGCACCCTGGTGCAATAGTCAGAGAGTCAAATTATGGTCAGGGCTTAGAGGCTCTGCAGATCAGCTCTCTGATACTTGGACTTATCAAGTATAAGAGACTTGGAGAAGTCTCTAGAACTCAGTGGGCCAGAGTGAGGAGTGGTTGGCCCAGGGGCGGACTGACAACTCATGGTGCCCCCGGGCAATAGAGGATCATGGGGCCCTTGTGTCCTTGCCCAAACTAAAAAAAGCCTATGAAAAAGGTACCAGGGGCATCTCATGGGGCCCCCTACTGACCCCGGGCCCTCGGGCAGTGCCTGAGTTTCCAAATGGTCAGTCCGCCCCTGGGTTGGCCTGTATGCCTAAAGGAATTATAGGAATCTGCAGATCAGCTCTTTGATACCTTTCCCTGATCTAGAGACTTAGAGAAGTATCTAGAACTCAGTGGTCCAGGGTGAGGAGTGGCTGACCTGCATGCTTAAAGGAATTATAGGATTCTGCAGATCAGCTCTCTGATACTTCTCCATGATCTAGAGACTTGGAGAAGTCTCTAGAATTCAGTGGGCGAGGGTGAGGAGTGGCTGGCCTGCATGCTTAAAGGAATTATAGGATTCTGCAGATCAGCTCTCTGATACCTCTCCCTGATCTAGAGACTTGGAGAAGTCTCTAGAACTCAGTGGGCCAGGGTGAGGAGTAGCTGGCCTGTATGCCTAAAGGAATTATAGGATTCTGCAGATCAGCTCTCTGATACCTCTCCCTGATCTAGAGACTTGGAGAAGTCTCTAAAACTCAGTGGGACAGGGTGAGGAGTAGCTGGCCTGTATGCCTAAAGGAATTATAGGATTCTGCAGATCAGCTCTCTGATACCTCTCCCTGATCTAGAGACTTGGAGAAGTCTCTAGAATTCAGTGAGCCTGGGTGAGGAGTGGCTGGCTTGTATGCCTAAAGGAATTATAGGATTTGTAGTGTACACAGAGCAAGCAGAAAAGATGAGGTTTGGGAGCTCACAGAGATTGTTACAGAGGCAGAAAAAACACACTAAGAAACCATTACATGGAAAATAAATGACAGGGCCATTAAAGCGGAACTTCACTCTATCGATCAACATTGACAATGTTTAATCCTTATCCTGCAAGCATTAGTAAATAGATCAGAAAGTATATCATATTTACTTGTTTTAAACATTTTTGTCTTCAATTAATTCCTGGTTTCCAGGCCTAAGCAAGTGATTTCATATATCTCAGGAGTCTTCAGGAGGGGTTTTCTCAGCCAAGCACACCCTTCTGCCTGCATGCCTGAGCTAAGGACAGATGGATGCCAGGAAGTAAATGGTATATGAATCACCTGCCCCTACTCAAGAAGGCAACAGCCAGAAATGCTAAAATAGCAAAATAAAGCATGGAGATATGGATGGTTTGAATTTTGGACATATCTTAACTTTTAATCAAGCCATGAAGACAAAACATGTATCCGTAATCTTAGCCCTACCACCATCCAACTCTACCCTAGCTATAACAATACCTACAAAGGAAGCTACTCATAAACATGAGACAATGCTTGTCACACTTTCATGTGAACCATATTTAACAAAAAGATATTTTGTATTCAGAAAACAACCATACAAGGATATTATTTAATAAATAATGCTTTCTAATACAAAAAAAATTTGATTTGCATTGTGTACAGTTGTTTGACCAGGATGGAAAAGCATTATGAAAGTATAATTTTTCCAACGGAATTCAGCTCAACGGATCAATTGTTCTGGAAACATTTATCTATAAAAGATCTTTTGTATGAATGGTGTTTCTTACGTGAACATTTGAATTAACTGTTTCTTTATACGTAGCCTTAACCCTAACAAAAACAGAAAAAAGAGAAAACAAACAACAAGAACATCAAGAAAGCAGAGTACTTAGTACACTATTTTAAAATGTTATCAGAGCGCTCTGTTACTGGACTCTCTGCTGAATGGCTGTGAATAGTACAGCACAACAGCACAGTGGTGAAGTGGTTAGCACTTCTAGCAGTACTAGGGTCGTCGGGTAAAATCCCAACCACGGCACCACCTGGCTGGAATTTGCATGTTCTATCTGCGCCTGCGTGGGTGTACTTCAGTTTCCACTCCAAAGACATGCAGGTAGGTTACTTGGATCCCATCTAAATTGGTTCTAATATGTGTATGTATGAATGTGAGTTAGGGACCTTAGACTGTAAGCTCCTTGAGGGCAGGGACTGATGTGTATGTGCTATATATATATATATATATATATATATACAGTATATATATGTGTGTGTGTGTGTGTGTGTGTGTGTGTGTGTGTGTGTGTGTGTGTGCGCGCGCGTGTGTGCGTGTGTGTGTGTGTGTGTGTGTGTGTGTGTGTGTGTGTGTGTGTGTATGTAAAGTATGCTATATAACTACCTATAAATAAATAAAAACCTATAAATAGATAGAATAATAAATAGTATCTCCAAGACAGAGGCTGTTAATAACTGGCTGATTATTGTGCTAGAAGAATAATTAGGTACAGGTATCCCAGAGGGTAGTTTCAGCAGGAAATCTGGGTGCTTTTTTTTGGGAACACTCGCCAAACAGACTTACTGCCTATATATAAAGAAAATGCAGCGCTGTGTGATGTTACTATATTGCGGGCAGATATAAATAATAAATGAAACCAAAGCAAATGAATAAATAAATCAATAAATAAATAAATCACAGTCCAGTAATGGTGCTCGCTGATTCCGAGGGCAAAAGTTAGAAGTGCGCACTAACCAGAAACGTATTAATAATACGCATGTGTATATGATATCATGGAGATTCCCCTCTCTTCTCTGGTCTGGTAATGGGCAGGAGCTGAAGATAGTAGAGATGAAGCGCCCTCGTGTGGCGAAATGGAGGTCCAGCAGGTCACAGAAATCCTTACAGAAGTGTGTGAAGTAGAAAATTCCTCCTCTCAAAGGCTGGTGCAGGGATCAATCTGGGTCTGCAGAAGCTGAAAAGGCTCATCGCAGAAGACACAGGAAAGAACCCATAGTGTAGTAGGTTGATGAAAATGATTTTATTCAAGAAAAACAGGAGCCCAGGACGCCATTGACACTACGCCGCCGGTGCCACGTGGAGGCCCGGCGGCCATCTTTAATCTTAAAGGGTCAGTCATTTGATTAAACCTGGCACCATTGTGAGTTTTTCCTGAACACTCCTGTTTTTCTTGAATAAAATCATTTTCATCAACCTACTACACTATGGGTTCTTTCCTGTGTCTTCTGCGATGAGCCTTTTCAGCTTCTGCAGACCCAAATTGATCCCTGCACCAGCCTTTGAGAGGAGGAATTTTCCACTTCACACACTTCTGTAAGGATTTCTGTGATCTGCTGGACCTCCATTTCGCCACACGAGGGCGCTTCATCTCTACTATCTTCAGCTCCTGCCCATTACCAGACCAGAAAAGAGAGGGGAATCTCCATGATATTATATACACATGCGTATTATTAATACGTTTCTGGTTAGTGCGCACTTCTAACTTTTGCACTGGGAATCAGCGAGCACCATTACTGACTGTGATTTATTTATTTATTCATTTGCTTTGGTTTCATTTATTATTTATATCTGCCCGCAATATAGTAACATCACACAGCGCTGCATTTTCTTTATATATATATTTTTGGGACTTTTATGTGTTTTCCTTGAATGTTCAGCTGCTGACCATTGGAGCGCTCACTGTATTTTTTATACTCTCAGACTTACTGCCTATGGTTGTCAAGAGGTGACTTCCTGCTTGTTATAACATTTTAGGTAACTGACAATATTGTTTTAAAGAGTTACTAAACCCACAACATTACAATTAGTCTCTATATGCAGTAAAGCATGCTTGTTACACTCACTGTGAAGCCTAAGGGGTTATTCCTCTGCATTGTGTAAAAAGGCTGTTTGATCCTGTCTTCTCTGATCCTTCCCTTTCTTCTACTATACCCAATCTTTCTGCTGATCGAACAGAGCTTTGGGGGCAAGCTGCACATTCTCAGTTTGGTGTGTATTGTTAGAGAGGGTTTTTTTGTTCTTTGGAGAGTGCATGTGATCAGCACAGGGCCAATCAGCACTGTCTGGACAGAGATCAGGGGTTCTGCATACTCCTAGAGCAAAATGAAAACTCCACCTACAAGCTGTAACGAGTGCTCTGCTGGACACTGATAGAAGTCACAGACCGCTCTAACTGCTGGTGAGAAAAGGTATTTAGCAGTTTATATTTACTAAAATAATTGCATTTCTATGTTGTGTGTACTGTGGGAGACCAGATATAGTGAATGCAGGGTCCTGGGTTTAGTAACACTTTAAGTACATACAGGCATTGGTATATTAATTATGTTAAAAATACTAACGTGATTTGGATTTTATAAATGAATTTGTAAATCAACTTTTTTCCTTCTACAGGGTAGTTTGAATAGAATTCAGAAGGGGTGTGGGAGTAGGTTTAAGCTTAGTTAAATAATCTGGGATTAAATTACAGAATTTACACAGCTTTTCTGAGCTTCCAGAGGCAGGGGGCTGGATTTGATGTCACAGCTCAGAGAGGAGAGCTAAGTGTGATCTGAGACCTGAGTGGAAGAAAGGGACACACTCCCCTCTACACAATCTCATAGGGACACATACACAGCTAAGGCTATTAATGACAGGCTCCCTTCCCGCCCCCTCTATCTTATGGAGTGGGCAAAACTTCTCAGAAATTACTCATTCAGATAGCAGAGGAATGAGACAGCAGAGAGATATCACACTCAGTGCTTTGGATTGAGACAAAAACACACTGTAGAAGGATACGCTTTGTCCATATTTCATGTCTGAGGTTTACAACCACTTTAACAACATAGCAGAAGGCTTCTTATGAGATCACATATATTGGTGATATATTTGAGTGTAAAGCCAGCCATAGATAGTCTGAATCTTAGCCATTTCAGCAAGAACTGGCCAGGATTTGATCCATGTATGGGCAAGCTGAATGTGCCCAAGTGAATGGATTGATCAATTTGGGTACAACCAGCTTGCCGGATTTCACATGAGATTATTGCTAGTGGATATTATAGCTGCTAGCAGTAACCACTGTGTTCTCCCGGCGGGGAATGACTCCCACTGGCAGGGAGAACACAATGGCTTTGGGGGAGGGATTCTCCCTTCAACAATGACCTATTTTCCATGGTTGCAGGAAGGAAAAACACTCCATCTATGGCCGGCTCAACTGTTTTAGCAAGAGGAGTGAAACGTCATGATGGGAGTGAGAATGAAGCTGGGAACCATGAAAGAGAATCCAGTGGGTGGCTCATGATAAATGAAATAACATGTTTGGATGGACTGTCACAAAGTTAAGTAACTCTCAAGAACCATTTATCAGTCATTTGTCATTGTCATCACATCTCTAAACCAACACAATAGTATATCTGATTAGTTATTTGCTCTGTTTTATTATATATTAGATTCTGCCTGTGCACCGATGCATCTTCCACAGTTTTATTAATACTCAGTGGAATTTCCTTCCTTACACATAAAAATATGCAGCCTTCAGTACTGATGTTTCCAAGAACTGAACTTTCCCTGGAGCGCTGAGAGCTCTTGACCTAAGGGACTTCCTTACTTTAGGGAGTTGTCTAACTTTTGTCCAGAAATCAGTGATAAGTGCAGCATCCAAAGGAAAGGAATCTTTAATCAAGTCAACAAAATCCTTAACTGTCTGTGTTCCAATACTATATGCTAATATACGCTGTATAAGCAGTAAATAAGTGTAGCGCTACCCCTGAAGGAGCTTCTTATATGTTTTCCACAGGCTCCCCTTGCTTCGCCTCTCAGCCAGACACAGTGTATTTCTGCAGCCAAATACACTCACACATACTTCCGCTTGTTGTCTTCAATGACCAGTCTAGGGGATGTTTTGGAATTTATTGAAGAACTGGAGATAGGAATGGGGAATTGTTGTAGTAGGGTACTCCAAAATTAGAACTATTCACACTGAGGACTTCTAGCTGATCTTTTGGTTGAGCACTTATGAAGTCATGGCTGACAGTAGATAGCAGACTGTACTTTGTAGCAAGAAGTAGTTTTAGGAGTGAGCAAATTCCCTTTTTTGTAGTAGTAGTTGCGGGGCTGAGCTCCTCCAGTATAAGCCAGTTACGACAGCCCAACAGTAACGTAGCTGAGCAAAGTCCCTTTGCAGTAGCAACACTCGGGCAAGCTCTAGCCATTGTTTCCTTTTCTCAGACCTACGCCGACTATCAAGTACCAGAGGGGTAGCAAGCACACAGAGTCTCCAAGATCTCTCAGACTCTGTACTCACAAGTCCAAAGACAGAATGGCTGCCTCCTTCCAATCTTCCAAGCAACTCTCTCCAGTGATACCAGACAGATCTTTGGCAGACAGCTCCTTCTGTCTACGTTCAGGCCCTCAGGCTGACCCACCTGGGGCCACATTGCAGCAAGTGCCAGGTGGGGCAGCCTGCCTTCAGCCTGGCTCTGTGCAATCCTCTCCTGGGAAAGACGCTGAACCCATGAGCTCCCAGAATATAAATACCACTCCCAGCATTCGATGGGGCAACCCTCCCCTGCAATTGGCCAGGGCTGTATCCATATTCATGCTGTGCATATGCCTAGCCCCTTCCAATGTTCTGGAAGGCTCTCATAGCTTCCTGAAGGTGAACAGAACTCAGACAAACTCCAACAGTAGCAGACCAGAAGGAGCAGACCTGACTAATCAAGCACAACACTCTTGCCCTCCTGAGGATTTACAACCCTTAATAACCTGGCATCTTTTTGCTACTTGGCTCTGCACTAATTCAACTGATAATTGTGCAGTCATGCAATGCTGTACCCAAATGAAATTTATGTCCTTTTTTTCACACAAATAGAGCTTTCTTTTGGTGGTATTTGATCACCTGTGTGCTTTTTATTTTTTGCGCTGTAAACAAAAAAAGACCGAACAATTTGAAGAAAAAAAATGATATTTTTTACTTTTGCCTATAAAAAAAATATATAGTAAACTCAAAGTTAGTTGTAAATTTAGACCAAAATGTATTCTGCTACATGTTTTTGGTAAAAAAAAACCCCAATAAGTGTTTATTGATTGCTTTGTGTGAAAGTTATAGCGTCTACAAACTATGGTATAGATACTGTAATTTACGCCATTTTTTTGCTATACTGCACTGCACTAGTGTAATTGACAATTGCGCGGTCATGCAATACGGTACATAAATTAAATTTATGTCCTTTTCTTCACACAAATAGAGCTTTCTTTTGGTGGTATTTTATCACCTGTGTGCTTTTTATTTTTGGCGCTATAAACGAAAAAAAAATTTTTGAGAAACATTTTTTAAAAAAAACGATATTTTCTCATTTCTGTCATAAAAAATATCCAAAAAAAACACAAATTTCATCATACATTTAGGCCAAAATGCATTCTGCTACATGTTTTTGACATGTATATGACAGTACAAACACCCCAAAATTACCCCTTTTTGGAAAGTAGACACCCTAAGCTATCTGCTGAGAGGCATATTGAGTCCATGTAAGATTTATTTTTTTTCCACAAGTTTCTGGAAAATGTCAAAAACATTTTTTTTTCTTACACAAAGTTGTCAATTAAATGATTTATTTCTCGCACAAGCCATGGGTATATGTGGAATTACACCCCAAAATACATTCTGCTACTACTACCGAGTATGAGGATACCACATGTGTGAGACTTTTTTGGAGCCTAGCCACATACAGGAGCCTGAAATCCAATGACCACTTTGAAAGCCTGAAGGTTCATAACTTCCTCATTTCACTTCCTCACTACCTATCAGAGTTTTGGAGGCCCTGAAATGCCAGGATAGCACCAACCCCCCCCCCCCCCAATTACCCCTTTTTGGAAATTAGACACCCCATGGAATTTAAAAAGAGGCATGATGAGTATTTTGCAGATCTCATTTTTTCTCACAAGGTTTTGAAATATAAAAAAAGAAAAGAAATAATATGTTTTTGTTTTTTTTCTTCAAATTTCAAAAACTTGTGGCAACAAATGAGATCTGCAAAATACTCACCATGCTTCTGATCAAATTCCTTGGGGTGTCTACTTTCCAAAAAGTGGTAATTTGGGGGGCTTTGGTGCTATCCTGGCATTTCAGGGCCTCTGAAACTGTGACAGGTAGTCAGGAAGTGTAATGAAGAACTAAAGCCCTTTAAAAGCCTGATGGTGCTTATTGGATTTTGGGGTCCTGTACTTGGCTAGACTGCCAAAATGTCTCTCACTTGTGGTACCCCGATACTCGGGAGATGTAGCAGAATGTATTTTGGGGAGTAATTCCACATATACCCATGGCATGTGTGAGCAGTAAATCATTCAAGTGCCAATTTTGTGTAAAAAAAGAAAAACATTTTTTGCCATTTTCCAAAAATTTGTGGTAAAAAAATAAATTCGTCTATTGATTCAAGATGCCTCTCAGCAAATAATTTGGGGTGTCTACTTTCCAAAAAGGGGTCATTTTGGTGGGTGGGGACATTTTATGCCCAGCATTAGAAGTTTATGCCACACATCACTCACTCTTCTAATCACCTGAAGACCAAGCCTATTCTGACACTTTTTGTTCACATGAAAAAAAATCAGTATTTTTTGCTAGGAAATTAACTTAAACCCCAAATATTATATATTTTTTAAAGCAAACACCCTAGTGAATAAAATAGTGGGTGTTGCAATTTTTTATGTCACATAGTACTCGCGCAGTGATTTTTCAAACTCAATTTTTAAAAACAAATACACTTTTTTTACTTTTAATGCACAAAAACACTAAATATTGGCCAATTATTTGGTGAAATTTAAAAGATGATGGTATGCTGAGTAAATAGATACCAAACATGACATGCTTTAAAACTGTGCATGCCCGTGCAATGGCGACAAACTGCATACGTTTTTAATATCCATAGGCAACGTTTTAAAAGCCTTTACAAGCTACCATTTTAGATTTACAGAGGAGGTCTAGTGTTAGAATTACTGCCCTTGATCTGATGTTCACGGCGATACCTCACATGCATGGTGCAACCGCTGTTTCCATACTGGCATAGGGTCAATGCTCACGAACGCAGATGCGCGCGTGCGCAGGGGGGCCAGGGTACTTTTTTTTTAAGTTATTTTGATTTTTTTATTGTTTTTACACTGTCCCTTCATTTTTTTTTATCACTTTTAATGCTATCACAGGGAATGCAAATATCCCCTATAACTTCAATGGGCATTGACATATATTCTTTTTTGAGAAATCTGGGTTCTATCAGACTCTAGATATCTCCTCTGCCCTTACATTA